TTTTAAAATATCGGCATATCGGATATCAGCCAAAATCCCAATATCCTGCATCCCTAGTTTAGGTTGTTTCATGAATAAAGCATAATTTCTAAACTCTTACCAAATATTTAATCAACTATAGTTAACTTGGACATCTTCGCTTTTCTTTTCTCAGTGCTAATTATTTTGTAACAAGCTAGTAAAAGCCTTAAATATCCTCCCCCCTTATAGCTGTTTTGATGAAAAAGTTCATTTTCAGTCACGTACCTTGCATGCAAAACTTGAGCTCTTTAGCGTCTGTGACGGTGGTGGCAGGCATCCTGTCTGCAACCTTCTTGCTCATGCGGTTGTAATTCCGTCTCTTCTTGGACTCTCCCCAAAGGTTGGAGCCCCCGTGCATGCTGGGAATGTTCAGAACAGCTATGCCCTCTAAGGAGGTATTGCTGAGGTCCAAGATGATCCCGTCGCACTGAGGAGGCAGAAGAATGCGGTTATTTCACCTTCATGTTATGGAAAGTGGTTGATCATTTTCTTGATTTGATGTGATCAAGGAAAAGCTCTGCGGTTTAAAATCTAATTAAGGATGCACTCTTTCTAATGAATTTATTTTCCTAAAGTACCAAGTTAAAATTTTATTTTATTAATTATTTATTTTTATTATTGGTGTTCTAAATGACATAAGTTAATTCATAGCCAGTTAATTGGCTAACCAACAAAAATTGTTTCTAAGAAACATATGTTTCTAAGAAACATAAAGCAACACACACCAAAAGTGATTAATCCCCACTCAGTTTCAATTCAGTTTATTCATAACACACGTCATCTCAAGCCACTTTAGAGAGACCAGATCATCCAGTCAGATTGATTCAAAGTTTTCTATCTAAGGAAAACCAGCTGATTGCATCGACTCATTGACTCAAATACAGTTCTTTACACTAAGCATGCTTGTAGCGACGGTGGGGAGGAAAAACTCCCTTTTAACAGGAAGAAACCTCCAGCAGAGAAAGATGTTCAAGGAGACAGAAGCAGTCATACAAAAAGAACACAGAAGGACTGATCTGTGAATCTTTTCTATGTTAGATAAGGTAGCAGTAATCTAGTTTTACAGGCCACTCTAACTAGAAGCTTTATCAGAAAGGAAAGTTTTAAGCCTAGCCTTAAAAGTAGACAGGGTGTCTGCCTCACGGACTAGAATTACAATAGTCCAGCCTTGAAGTAACAAATGCATGGACTAGTTTCTCAGCATCACCCCTGGACAGGAGATTTCTCATTTTTGAAATATTCTTGAAATTAAATAATACATTCTAGAAATCTCCTTGATATGGAGTTTATATGACAGGTCCTGAAAAAAACGTTTGTTTTTTGTTATAAACTGCTCTACAGCTGAATTAGCTTTAAAACATGAAAACAGCAGGAAAAAAGATCTGATCCGTAACATGTCTAAATGTCAATTGTGTTAAAGTAACTAAATATGATTAAGTAAATGTCAAAAACGGTTGCATTATTTTTTTCCGTGTACATGTCCAAATAAGGATATGAATATGTTAAGAAACTACGTTTTCATGACAGTTACGCTCATCAAAATTCAGTACATTTCAGCATAATATTGCCAACTTTCAGTGTAACCTGGGAGACGGAGCGCGGATTCTAGTCAAAGGGCTGATGTGGGTATGGGCCTAATTTAAATGGGGGTGGGGGGGCCTAGTGGTTAGGGCATAGAGCCTAGAATTCTGAGGTTCTGAGTTTGAGCCCCACTTCCACAGACTGCCACTCTGGGTCTCTAAGCAAGACCCTTAAGCCCACACTGCTCCCCGGGCGCCCCACGATGGCAGCCTACTGCTCCCAAAGGGGATGGGTTAAATGCAGAGATAAATTTCTCCAATGTGAGATCAATAAAGTTAAATTAGAATTAGTATTTCAATGTAGCGGTGAAAACTTTCAGCCTATTGGCCTGATAGGCTGAAATACGCTGGGCAGAACTGTGAGGTGGGGGATGGAGTTCCATCAAGGTGTTCCAATGGCCTAGTCAAAGTACAGAATTGTGTTGAGACACCAAAACAATGTCTAGAAATCTTAAATATATAAAGCAATGTTGTTAAGAGGAATGAACCAGGAGAGAAGCTTTAAATGATCCTTTCTGCATCGTCTGCATCCTTTAACTAACAGATGATGGTGAGTTTTAGCTATTTGACGAATTAAGATCCCTGCATTGACGGAGCCATTTTAATAAATATAGCGTCCAGAACTGAAGAAGGGTGCACTCTCTTTCAGCCACTTTCTGCATGATCAGTTGCATTTGGTTGAACTCACATGGAACTCTGAGAGTCCTCGTGTGTTCGAACAGATCGAGCAGCACAAGCCCGAACAGCTGGAGCTACACGCCGCACGGCAGACTGAAGTGATTTCACAAGTAGCTGGACCGTACTCCTGTTCCGGGGCAGAATTATTCTGCATAATTAAATGTCAAGGACCTTTGAGCTTAGATCTGCCTGTAGGCAGCTTGGGGGAAAATAAAAAAGAGACCAGATGTATTGAATTGTGCTACTGATGCACCGAGTGCAGGCTCGCTCAGATTGGATCAGTCTGAACATGATCATTCTGTCAGGGCTGCAGCTTTTTTATTAGAAAATGGTGGAAGATGAAAGTCCTGCTCTAAGTGGAGCATCACTTTTAGAAGGACTACGTGTGTCGGCTGGCTGCAGGTCACTGGGTCGAAGGCAAGAACACACACCCAGACTCATGAGGACACAGAGCTTGTTACGTGGTTGTTTTCTCATTTGTCTGTTCTTTTTGATGTAATTACTGCGACAGATCCTGAAAATGGCTGTAAGGCCCGTTAAATCAGCCTCTTCACCATCAATGCACTTCATTTAAAATCAGCAAACAATTCTGAGGGAAGGTGAAAGCTCTCTGTGTCTAGAGTTAAACGCAGGTTTGAAAGAACATTGGTGGTGGATTGGCTCCACACTGCGCATCGTCCATCTTAGTTGTGCAAGCTGAGATTTAGCAAAATATATATTTT